ACAGACCACAACCTATTTCTGGCTAGCACTAACTTTCGGCACAGTCATCGCCGATGTGCCACCTGGCGTCCTCCCTCTGCATCTCAAGCCTGGACTCAGATTGATCACATCGCGATCAGCTACCGCTGGCGTGGTTGTGTAAAGACTGCCGCTCCTTTTGGAGTACCTATCTGGACTCTGACCATGCCTTGGTCTGCGCCAATCTTACCTTACTTTTCAGTGGACAACGAAGTGACCGCCATCAACGGATTGATGTTAGCAAGCTGGTTGCAACTTCTGTTGCAAGTAAGTATCGAACCGAGCTAGCCTCTAGGCTAGCTACCACTCCACCGAAAAGTATAGATGAGCATTGGTTGCAATTGCATGACGCCATGAAAATGGCGGGAACAGTCAGTTGTGGGTTTGCGAAACGTCCCGCTTTAAGCACTGGGTTTCTTCTGGTTCCTTACAACTCATTGAAGCCCGTCGGTCTACTCCGGGTGACCGTGAGTTTGACCATAAACGAAGGATGTTACGTAAGGAAATTGGGCAAAGCTTGCGTAAGGACCGAGAAGCCTGGTGGTCGATGCGTGCTAATGAGCTGGAAGCAGCAGCTGCATCTGGTAACTACCGGAAGCTCTTCCAGCTCATCCGAGCCACTGGCAGCAAGAAGTCTGGTGTGAGTGAAACAATCTGCGAGGATGATGGGATGCCAATCACTAACATCCATCGACGTCTTGGACGATGGGCAGAATTTTTCGAAGGGCAGTTCAACTGGCCTGCTGCTCCGGCAACATCGGTCAGACTGTCCTGCCCTCCATGGCCGGTGACGACTGATCCACCAAACGAGGAGGAAGTCCGCAAGGAACTCCAACTCTTGAAGCGTTACAAATCACCTGGCCCAGATGACTTACCTCCGGCTCTTTTTAAAGATGGTGGTGACTTTTTGACTAAGGAATTGACGACGTTGTTTACAAAGGTTTGGGAACTAGAGAGTGTACCAACGTCATGGAATGAGTCGATAGTTGTCCCTATCTTTAAAAAGGGTTCACGTCGTTCCTGTAACAACTATCGGGGGATAAGTCTACTTCCGATTGCGTCCAAGCTATTGGCTTCCGTCATACTTCGTAGGTTGTTCAAAACCCGAGAAAGATTGACTCGCGAGGAGCAGGCTGGGTTTCGTTCTGGTCGAGGATGTATTGATCATATCTTCACCCTCCGCCAAATGTTAGAACACCGCCATACTTATCAAAGGCCAACAATCGTAGTGTTTCTTGACATCAGGGCTGCCTTCGATTCGTTGGACAGGACTGTTCTCTGGGATTGTCTATTGAAGAAGGGTGTGCCTGAGAAGTTTATTAACATCCTAAAAGCCCTATATAAAAACACCTCAGGCAGAGTGAGGGCATACAACCACCTCTCTCCATTGTTCCATTCGAGCAGTGGGGTTAGGCAGGGTTGCCCAATCTCACCATTCCTCTTCAACTTTGCCATCGATGACATTCTGGAAACAGCTCTGATGAATGTAAGTAATGGTGGTGTGGATCTGTTGCCTGGAGAAAGACTTCTCGACCTTGAGTATGCGGACGATATTGTCTTACTGTGCGATAATGCCCAAGGCATGCAATCCGCACTTAATCAGTTGGCAATCAGTGTCCGTAGGTATGGTATGTGCTTTGCACCTTCGAAGTGCAAAGTACTTCTACAAGACTGGCAGGATTCTAATCCTGTACTCACCCTGGATGGTGAGCAGATAGACGTAGTTGAGAAGTTCGTGTATCTGGGTAGCTGCATAAGTGCTGGTGGGGGTGTGAGTGATGAGATCAATGCACGAATAGTGAAAGCCAGAGCGGCTTATGCCAATCTGGGCCACCTTTGGCGCCTTCGTGATGTTAGTCTGGCTGTAAAAGGTCGGATCTACAACGCGTCGGTGAGAGCAGTTTTGCTCTATGCTTGTGAAACCTGGCCTCTCCGAGTTGAGGACGTTAGACGACTCTCTGTGTTCGATCATCGCTGTCTCCGAAGGATTGCTGACATTCAGTGGCAACACCATGTCAGTAATGCAGAGGTTCGGCATCGTGTGTTCGGGCACAGAGATGATAATGCAATTGGTGTCACCATCTTGAAACACCGACTTCGGTGGCTTGGACATGTTCTCCGAATGTCGTCCCAGAGAATTCCACGTCGTGCATTATTTGCCGACTCTGGGACTGGTTGGAAGAAGCGGAGAGGTGGTCAGTGCATGACATGGTGTCGTGGCATGAAAGAAAGCTGCAAAGGACTGGCTTGTGTTGGTCCTTCACGACTCCCTGGTTGGGGTCTGAGAGATGGTGCTACACAGTGGCTAGAGACGTTATCAGATATGGCTCAGAATAGAAGCCAGTGGCGATCCTGCTGTAACCTTCTTTTACTTTCTTCATAAAAAGTGGTTGTGTCTCCCTTACCTGAAAGATTTCTTCTGATTGTACCTTTCCGTTCCCTCGTTACTACCACACTACCTTACACCAATCTCTTCGTTATTGTTCTCTTTTTCTTTTGCGCTCCTTAGTTTTTTTTTCTTTCTATTTCTCTTCGAATTCTCATTGTTTTGTGTGGCGCATATATATTGGCGCTCTCCTATACCAATATTCATGTGTTCAAATAAATAAATAATAAAACTATAACAACTCCGTTTCAAAACTCCTGATCAGGATATACTGCCTTTTAAACAGTTCTACTGCTATCACTTTTGTTATTGTTAGTAAACAATAACGTAGTAAACTATGGTCGAGAAATAAAAATGTTAGAAAAGTATCACACACATTTGTGACCAGTACAACTACGAGAGAATAATATTGCTGCTCATGTATGGTGGCCAGGTAAGGATAACAAATCGAATAATGTGGCGGTAGTGAATCTTCGTCGACTGAAGTTATTGAGACACATGAATTATGCCTATACCCAACCACCTTTCACTTCGACGCATGATGATGGTTGATGTAGGAATGTTACTGATTGATATTACTGCTACTTCAACTAGTAGTTTCACAGTCATATTACGACACACCCCGATTTACTAACAAATGTATTTTTACATTTAAAATTTCATCTTTGTTTATGTTTATGACATAAACTGCAGTAAACATTTGATCGTATAAATAACTTTACTCAAAGAATCTATATTGTTTTCTCGAACTGAATGTATGTCTAATCGGTCCTACTACTATTAATACTGATGCAACTTGTAGTAATCTGACACTTTTCTATGCTGATGTGCTGTGGCAACTTGAACCGTTGTGAATATGTGCCAGCTTCTGTGTCCGTATAATTGATCAACATCTCTTCGTTAGATCCCACAAACATGCACATACATGTAAATAAGTGCACTATTGTTTCAAGTCAGAATATTTTAAGCATAATTAATAAAGTGAGAGAAATTAATTGATCATACCGTAATTATAAAACTAACACTTACACCATCAATATTAAAAAGTAATTGATATTGTTTTATCAGTGCATTACGTGGTTCTGTAAGAACACGGACAAGCATTTCTTCATTTAATGAATGTAGAGCAGTAATTATAGGGAAACGACCAACGAATTCCGGTATCATCCCATAAGTAATAAGATCATTAGCTTCAACTTCTTGTAACAATTTATCACGTTCAGCATTTTCTTCATGAGCTGAACTTTCAAAATTTTGAAATAAATTTACAAAATCTGTCGTATTTGGATTGACTGATGAAGTGCAATTATCTTGTGTAGTCGATTCATTCATAGATGTCAACATATCAAATCCGATAGTCTAAGATTTGAATTAAAACAAAGAACGTAGGTGAATGTGAATTCAAACTACAAAAATCTGAAAACTTATTAAATTGGGTGGAAAAAAGTTACAGGGATACTACTACTGATCAGTAATATTAGGAAATGACTTCTAGATCAATTTAACTAACATCACCACAAACTGATAGATAGTCCAATTTACTCGATAGCAAATAGAGTATTATACAGAAATATTTTTCCGGGTATGAAGTTATGGTTGCAGATAATCGATAGGAAACTAGGTTTGGTGTCGTTTGGCACTCGTCTAAGATGATCTTGGGGGGACCGATGACCCTTGGAGGATTCGACCTTGTGTCATCCAGCTCCACAATCAGAGATGTTACCAACGAGCTATCCGGGTAGACCTCCTGCAGGTGTGGATGTATTTACAATTGATTGATCACTAAGTTTCAACCAATGTCATAGATTTTAAGTCCTTCGAATTCTATTGATCAAGTTGCAGATATGTCATATTGGTCACTACTCAGTGATCAGTTAACTGTAAAATACATAGCAAACCTGCAGGTCTACCCGAATAGCTTAGCGAAAACGTTTTTGACTGTGAATCTGGATGACACAGGATCGACCCCCCTCCGAAGATCACCTTGGTAATGAGTGACAAACGGCACCAAATCTAGTTCCCTATAGACTACCTCCAACCATCACCTTACATCTCAACATACTGAACGTGATGTCGAGTCACTTAGATCAGTGTGTGTCATCAACCGATGACAACAGTCGATCATTATTTCCAAAATATGAATAGTAAATAGTAGGATGCTAAACTAATAGTATACTATGGTTAGCTACGTACGAAAACCTTCTAGTAAAATGAATACATACAACTTGACAGCCCTCTCACTAGTTAATGTAATCTTGGCATCAGTTCACCTGAACCTGTTAAACTGAACTCACCAACAAAACTAAGTGCTCACATTCTAAATACATTCACGGACATTGTTGGACTCTATTAGCAAAGAAAAGAACACATCACAACTTCGATTCTTCCAATAAGAAAGTTGAATTTCTTTTTCTTCAATCAGAACACTACGATACACTTCGAGAGCATAGTTGAAACGTATAAATGTAAAACAATGAAGAGGAATCATATATAGATATCGAGTCCTGGAGTCAACATCACCTCTGGGATGCACGGGCGCCCAGAGCCCCAATAGAACTAAATGTCCTCCTGCTAGCCATCATTCGTCTCTGTTTAAAGTGCGTGTAACTTAATGAGGAAATCGGGGCAATCCGCACACGACGTGCACATACCAAGTGACTGATCAATTGCAGTTTTAAAACCAGTGGGAAAATTTAACCAACCAATACAGGTAAATAAAACTTAGTGTTTAACTAGATCTACGGGTATATTAAGAACAACACAAATTAAGTATTTCAGATGACCTGAAATAAAAACGTAAGATAAAGTAAGGAAATTTTTTTAGAACAACAAAAAAACAGAAACCAATCAAACCTTTTTATGTTTTCGTCGACTAATTATCTTGTCAAGTCCATTAAATGCACCACAGGCTATAAAAAGTATGTTGGTTGTATCCACTAGGAAAGTTTCACCACGTAATTTACGCGGACTTTTGACATCAGGTACGTTAACAAGTGAACCTTCTAACAGTTTTAACATAGCCTATAAATATGATTTTTGAAGAGGAAATAAGAAATAGATAATTGGATAGTGGGGAAAAAACATCAAACAAGCATTTATTTCACATAAATATTGTGTTAACAACGAAAGTAGCGGCAGTAGTAAGAACCAATTAAAATACCTTTTTACTCGAGCAACAAACTAACTACAGTAAAATTTTATAACTATTATTATTATAACTTAAAAACAGATACAAAGGCGGACCAAAGTATATATGCATCACACAAAATTTGTGAGAGCTGGGATACTGCCCGGGCGCCCAAACCAAAGCAAGTGGTTTGTATAGGGAAGCACTCCCAGAAATTGTGGTCTAGAAATCTAATCCACAAGGCTGTTGAGCAACGTTAGGAGATGAATTCCCATAATATACGGTGATTAGGAATAGTTGTATACGCCATTTGTTACTTTAGGATAGTGGATCCCGTGTGTACCATTAGTTTGGGATCAGGGTTTTTCAACTCTTGTAGATGGGTCATTTGTATCCACCAAATCGGTTTAAGCTCCAGACAATCACTTTGCGTCTTTCCAATTTCGCAGACAGCATCTGCAGACTCTCCCCACCCTCGGCATTTTGCGGCAGTAAAACTTTTATATCAGAAGCATTACTCAACATGTAAAAAGTAATATAAAATATCACAACCAAGTATATATATATATATATATATATATATATATATATATATATATCCCACCTGTTGAACACCTTCACCACTGACATCTCGCGCAGCATGATGATGCCCAGTTTTAGAGCTTATTTTGTCTATTTCATCTAGAACCACTATACCTTGTTGAGCAAGTTCCACATTGAAATTTGCATTTTGTAATAATCTACCAATGGTTGATTCAACATCTTCACCAACATAACCAGCTTGGGTTATACTTGTACAATCATAAAGAGCGAAAGGTACATTTAAATAATTAGCCAAAGTTTGAGCCAACAGTGTTTTGCCTAAAAATAACAAAATCCAAAATTTTCAAGCGTTGTTGAGATTATAATATACTTATACATCACATAAAATGTTTCATACGCCAAAAGGATAAGAGCACACTAATAAGAAAATACGTGATCATGTTAAGAGTTTGAAGAAAATAAATTAATCAAAGTGAATTCTGTAACTATGGTTCATTGTTTCATTTTTAAAATATAGATTAAAAAAGGATAAACGAAGTATTGTTATTTGAAACATGAAGTAAGCATTGATACCAATCTTGATACAATAATTAATATATCTCACACGTCATCGGATTCATCACCAAAAGATAGGGCCGGGAATATTATAAGAAATTGTTGACACAAAAGGTAATGATTATTTGGTTATTGAAGCTAGTCACTAGTGAGCATATGATTGAAGTTAAACATGTATATCATTGTATCCCGGCACAATAGTTTAGATATTAAGCGTTTATGTGCGAGATTGAAGGTCCTGAGTTCGATCCCCGTGTGAAGTGTCTTGGATGCTCGCTTCTGAGGAGTCCCAATATTAGGACAAGACGGTCATTCAGCGCTTCTAAATTCCCAATAGTAGTCTACCTAAGACTAGTTCACAAGTTGCACTAAGAAATTAATGAATCAAGAGACAGTGACATTTAGGATTGTTTTTAAAAAATACCATAAAATGGCTGTACGACAAATACTCATAAAAGAAATGCAAACTAATTCACTTAAGAATGTAACCACCCACATCTCATGTTCTGCTTTCTCTGCACCTGTCGAATACAAATTACAACCCATTGTTTATTCAATACTTATCCCAGAAACCTAGAAATGACTCTCACTGGAATATGGAACAATTTATGTGTCATTTTTAAGTGAACAAACATGAAGTATTGAGTCGTATGCTGTTACCAGTATTTTAATATTATAATAGACAGTGAATGTTCAATAAGATTATGACTCACCATACCAATCAGTTAAATTTCCAAAATATTGAACTGATGCTACAAATCGTACGTTACTTTACTTGAAGTATACTAATAAAAAAGCGTTATTAACGTGTAAAAGTATTATGAATTGTAGATAAATGGATTATATAGCAATACAACCCACTACTACAGGTTTCCATGTCCCCATTCTCATCTGAGCAAATCATTTCATAAGTTATTAATGTTAATGATTGACTATGTCACAAATAAATAACTAATATAATTATTTGTCTTTTTAATTATTTGATTATTCACACACACATTTACAGTGTGTAAACGGTCAGAATATTTATAAATAATAAATTTACTTAATCGTACAAAGTTTTTTTTCTTTTGATTGAGTGATGAAGCACAGAGAACTCAGTCAGTCAGCTACAAAGTATACCAGGTACATATGTGTATAGGTCCAAGTTGCCATACTTCATTAACACAACAAGATGAACACCGGATTCATAGAAGTAGTTCATTCAGTGGTGGTGATATATAAAAGAAAGATTTCATATAAGGACATGGTACAGGAAGAAAGAATTAGTTCGTAGAAAGACATGAAGCAATTTTAATCTCATAGTTTAAGGGAAAACAGAGAGTGTATACACCTACGCCAGAAAAAGAAGTACAAAAAGGACAAAAACTATTTCACATAAAACAGACTTGGAATTACTTATTTTTCCAAAAGCAATAATTTTGAAATCCACATTACCTGAACCTGTTGAGCCTAACAATATAATGTTGCTTTTTTCCAATTTTAATGGACGATCAACATCATCTTTAAGAATCCGTGAGGCACGACGTTTTTCTCGATCATCCTTCATATCAGATAAATTTTCTAAAGTAATTGGAAATGGAAATGAACTTGTTGGACTATTTCCATGTGTAAATGGATTTTTCGATGAACTTAGTGAACCATTGCGTGACAAATTAAATAATTCTAAAAATAAGTAGAATGTGCGTATGTTGAGTTCAATAAGATAAACACAGAATGTAAAAATAATAATAATAATATCAGCATTTAATGAGTTCACTAAGTACAAATCAAAATGATTGTATATGATACGAAATAGTTATTTTATCAAGAATAAAATACAAAAACAAACAAGAATGGTCAGTTGTTCAGAAACCGAAATGAAATAAGTTGATGAGATTATTGCTAATGTTACAAGGACTGGCAATTTTTTCAGAAACTTTTGTGTTATTTTACACTCACGCGTGATGAACTCTAACTTTTGGAAGAACTTTCATAATTCAGCCAACATGTGACTAGTAATTCATTCTTACTATCCTAACAACTACTCTTTCCATAAGAAACTGGCCTTCAGCACGTATACCTCATACATTTATGTCCTTACAAATCCACACTTATGCGTCTTATGTGCGTTTGATTGTCTATACATTCATTATTCTACCCAACAGCTATCTCCTTGCCGCCCCATGATATAATCTATTTTGAGCCATATTAACGCTTATGATGAGTAATATTTTAAGTAGAAACCCTCGTCTTCTGTGTTTTTATCTCTTCATCTGTCCACTGAAATAAATAAATGAAACACAAACATCCAAAAACTTATATCCGACTTTTGATACATGCGTTGCTGTTAAAGGGATTTGTCAATAGAACATATACCATGTAAGTACGATCTATCTTTCGTCTACATCATTAACGATTCGACCATATTAAAATTAGACTGTGTGCGCTAGAAATCCAATTATTTAAAACTAAAAATTAAACATACCGCATATTTCGGGTCAATCACTACTAATAATTAATTTCCAATGGAGAGAATATAATAATAATAATTACTACCATTGTTATTATTATAACGATGCTAGTAGCAACTCTTATCAATTAATCAGGTGTAATTTCCTTGTTTGCAACAAACTATTTCATCTGGAATTTTTAATACACAATGTTATAATTAGTAGACTTGTTAGCATGATCTCTGTTAAGGGAGATGTGTTGACACCATTGATCTTGTTTAGTCGTCCTAACATTTCCTCTTCTAGCCCCAGCACCCCCATATTGTGGTTTTGTTCGTGATTTGTATTGCGTCTGGGTGTACACCTTGTGGTTGGATTTCATAGTCAGTGAGAATTTCAAACGAAAGTGTGCACGATGTTTATTCTTATTGGTGTTATCTAGAGAGTTGTGATTGACATCATGCCAATATTGTTGTAATAGTGAATAAACTTGCTGTAATTGTTGAATGAATGGATTCCTCCGTCATTGTTCCTTCACTAGTTCTGGTTTGGAATGTGAGGACAGTTAAGCAAATTGTATTTCATTCTCGATTTGAACGTGAATACTCCGACCACGACAAACTCTTTGTCTCAGGAAATTAAAAGCCCCCAAATGCCCTGGTAAGACCGAGGGTGAGAGGGGTCAAATCTCCTCTAAATGCTCTCACATAGTTACGCGTAAACAGCGATTGCTAGGGAAGTCCTACTCACTGAATTCTCGCGAAGGAAGTGTTGTTTACGAAATTGAATGGATGAAAAGTAAATGTCTGGCGCTTTAAGCGGGTTGGTGGATATGGAGGATCCACCCAGGGGAGTTGAAAAACCCTTATTCCAAACCAATGGTGCACATGGAACCCAGGATCCTGAGGGAACAAATGGCGCATAAACCAATCGTTGGTCACCAGCTACTATGGTACTGCATCTCCTGACATTGCTCCACTACCTTGGGGATCAGACCTTTAGGTCGAAGGCTCCGGGTGTGGCCCCCTAAGAAGACCACCTGCTTCGGTCTGGGCACCCGGGCAGTATCACAGCTCACACACAAATCAAATGACTTGTGTGGCGCATATATATTCGGTACCTTTTTGTACCAGTATTTATATTCAAATAAATAAATAATTTGAAAACGAGATCGTAAGTGTTTATAATCACTTTAAAAAAGATACAAAGAACATGGACAACTTTCACAAACGCAAGTCAAATATTCGTACCAGATACAGAGGGTTGACTTAAATTGCTCTGATAATTTACAGGTGTACAAGAACGTGTACCCGAAAATTCATTTGGGGAATAATGATTATTTACAGTAGGTTTGGCTTCATTTGTCCCTGAGTTTAAATTATTTGAATTAAATCCATTATCTTCCGAGGTAGCCAGTGACCGATTATACTGTATACGATTGTAATGAGCATATACTTGGACGGCAAGAATTTTTTTGGCTTTATCTTGACCTACCACATAGCGATCTAAGTATTGATGTATCTAATATAAATCGGAGTAAAGAGAACATTTCTAATGACAATAAACAAATATATGGAACAAATACATTAAATGAATTATTTGAAGTGGTAATAATGGTGAGAAAATCTATTCGATTCTCTAGTCTGTCATCACTTCACTACTAGAAAGCTCATATTCCTTTTCTTCCTACAAATTATATTTAATTGAAACTGGGTTGGGAAAAAAAGAAGTTATACAGCACCTACAACTCACCAACAGAGCTTACTTTAGGTCAATTGTATTTGTCACTAATAAGACAATAGATCCAAGACCTAATAATTAGGAACAATTTACAGACGTCAAATATTCCATATTAGATCATCTTATCAAGGCAAATTAATGATGGACAATATCATTTTTAATTGAACCAAGATTCAAACACGTAATGATCAAAAAAACGTATAACTTCATGAATATGATAAACAAGGATGAATTGCCTTCTATCAAAGCATAATGTTTTCCATCTCAACCATTTTTCAACCTTGAGTAAACAGACCAAAAATATAGGACAAGGTTTTATAGTTATTTGAACAGTAACTAGCATTGTATGATGCAATTGTTAATGTGCATAATCTACATTGAATAAGACAACGAAATTCACTAGATGAAAGTTCATTCCACTAAGATATATAACATTAGCTGATGCCAAATTGATCACAATGTCACAGAAAAAATATTTACTATTGACGAACTATAGTCCTACAAAAGATTTACTTCGAAAAAATCAGGTGATTGGTGGTTAATCAATATTTCTTTGGCTAATATCCATTTATAAGGAGAAAAACAATACGAATAAGCTAACTGACAACAGAAAAAATAAACGGACGAATAAAACCACTTAAGGTTTACAACTGTTGATTTTTAGCATAGTGGCTCTAATTAACCTAGAAAACACACTGCTCAATATAGTTCTATACTAATTTGCATTGTATATTTCGGTCAACCGTGACTGGGTGAAGTCACCTGCTGTTAAGGGTTTCCAACTTCATAGACTAACTTACTCTTTTCCTCTCAAACTTTATAACATCTAAAGAAAATGTAACACATACCATAATTTCCACTAAAAGTGAATAACCTTTTGAAGGCCTGTGAAATATTATATACTAAGCTATTGCAGTCTCAAATAAAGTAAGACAAAATGGAGTTTTATGAAAAATATACTGGCTCTCTAAACATCCAGATACTCTTTCAGTGCCATACATACATATCACACGTTGATATTTAACAAAGAGGTTTTGCAACGTCGCACTTAGACTTTGTTAGACATCAGGTAATAAACATACTATAATCATTATTTATAGTCGTGTCAAAGATTATTGCTATATGTTTATGAAACGCATGCGCCTAACATTTGCATACTTTCAGGATATTTATAATCTGTACATTAGATATTCACCGTCGGTACACAGCACAATTTCATTAACCGTAACCTATTAGATCTATAGATGGTCTGTAAAAAATACCTGTACAACTATTAACCGTAAGCTATATTACAGGGTATTAAATTTTATCTAACGGAATAATTATACAGGAAAAGAACTCAACAATGTGTTGGATTACTACTCCAACCCCTACACTCATCAAATGTAACAAAATTAAAATTATCGAATGAATATTTGAGGGAAGTGACTGCTGAAATTCGATGAATAACGAAATATTCTAATTATCATCGGGAAACCGATTTAACTTCATCGTTTAGTTCTACGGTGATTTAGTTTACGCTAAGAAAGTTCTGGTGTCAATGGTTAGGGTGCTTAAGCAGTGTACATTTGAAACTTGGAACGCATACATTCGCTCGAAATCGTAGACATACACCATACTGATGTGCTAACAAGCGTGGACCATAAATGACTTTCATATCTGCCAAGAAATATATGGTTATTATGCCGAAACTCTTATGATCTCTAGCACTAACCACTTACCGATTTTGTTCTTATTTAGACTACAGGGGTCAGTTGGATAGGAAGAATTATTCCGACTACTCCATCATTTTATTTTACTGTCATCACCGAAACTCGGGTTTGTACATGTTCAGATTTATTGAGCCTTTTAGTTAACTTATTCAAGTCTCATTTGTGTCAGCAACAACCGCACTATTATTATGCCCAGGCTTCTTTGATCATAACTCCATCTGTAGCTCTTCTAGAGTTACTGCCGGTCCCAAGCCCAAGTAAAGGAGGAGAGTTGGGCATGGGGTTAGCGACCCCATCCCGTAGAAAACTAACTCGTTAAAAAAACGCCAACCTGAAAAAATAATTCAAACCATTTAAACTCTGCCCTGGGAATTAGAAGGTCTTCATTTAGAAGAACTATGACGCCTCATGGTGAAAGCCAAGTTCCTTCGGAAGCCACGAGGCTGATGCCCCTCCTAACAACCAGAGCAACAATTTTTATAGGTACATGGAACGTCCGGACAATGTGGGAGACCGGGAAGACCAGTCAAATAACAACGGAAATGAGGAGATACAAATTGGCAGTACTGGGAATCAGCGAAACCCATTGGACCCAAGCTGGACAACAAAGGCTAAATACGGGAGAGATGCTGCTATACTTCGGCCACGAAAAGGAAAATGCTCCACACACTCAGAGAGCTGCTCGAATGCTATCCAAAGTAGCACAAAATGCACTTGTTGGATGGGAATCTCACGGATCCAGAATCATCAAAGCATCATTCAAAACAAAGAAGGAAGGGATCACAATAAATGTTATCCAATGTTATGCACCCACCAATGATATCAATGACGACAATAAAGATCGATTCTATGAGAGGCTGCAATCAACCACAGCGAAGTGCTCAAGAAAGGACCTCAATATTCTGATGGAGGATCTAAACGCCAAAGTCGGAATAGACAACACCAGATATGAAGATATCATGGGACAGCATGGACTGGGAGAGAGAAACGAAAGTGGGGAAACATTTGCAAATCTATATGCATTCAACAAATTGGTTATAGACAGCAAAATATTTCCACACAACCGTATGCACAAAGCTAAATGGATCTCACCGGACCACACCACAGAGAACCAGATAGATTATATTTGCATCAATTAAAAATTCCGAAGGACAATGGAAGATGTGAGAACCAGGAGAGGAGCTGATATAGCTTCAGATCACCACCTAGTTGTGGCCAATTTAAAACTGAAGCTAAAGAAGAACTGGACAACTGGACAAACAGCACTAAAAAGGTTCAATACAGCTTTCCTACGAGATACTAACAAACTCAACGAATTCAAGATAGCTCTCAACAACAGGTTCCAAGCTTTACAGGACCTACTGAAAGAAGAAACTACTATGGAGGACAACTGGGAAGGTATCAAAGAAGCACTAAAGTCAACGTGTCAAGAGTTCCTGGACCGCAAGAAGCATCATCATAAGGAATGGATCTCTAAAGAAACACTGAACAAGATCAAAGAAGAGAAGAACAAGAAAACAGCAATTAATAACAGCCGAACACGAGCAGAGAAAGCCAAAGCACAAGCTGAGTACACAGAAGAAAACAATCAAGTGAAGAAGAGCATTGAAGCCGACAAGCAGAAATACGTGGAAGAACTAGCAACGACGGCGGAAAAAGCTGCAAGAGAAGGAAATATGAAACAACTATATGATACAACGAAGAAACTAGCAGGGAGATATATTACTATTTATTTATTCATTTGAACACATAAATATTGGTACAAGGGGGCACCAGATATAGCAAACCAGAGAGACCTTCCAAGGACAAAGAAGGCAGACCAATTACTGAAATTCAAGAACAGAGGAACAGATCGGTAGAGTACTTTGAGGACCTCTTGAATAGACCAGCTACATTGAATCCTACGGACGTCGAAGCAGCACACACAGACCTTCCTATACATGTCCCTCCACAACGACCGAAGAAATCAGGATGGCCATCAGACAAATCAAGAGCGGGGAAGCAGCAAGACCCGGCAATATACCAGCTGAACCACTGAAGTCAGACATCGAAGTAACTATTCAAAAATATTTGGGAAGAGGAACAAGTGTCGATGGACTGGAAAGAAGGACACCTCATCAAGATCCCAAAGAAAGATCTGAGCAAATGTGAAAACTACAGAGGCGTTACACTACTGTCAGTACCAGGGAAAGTCTTCAACAGAGTGATGCTGAACCGGATGGAAGACGCAGTAGACGTCTATCTTCGAGAACAACAAGCTGGATTCCATGAGGATCGGTCGTGTACAAACCAAATTGTGACACTCAGTCAGTCAGTCAGTCAGCTACAACGTAGGACCAGGCACATGTATGCATCGGCCCAGGTTGCCATACCTCATTAGCACAGCAAGATGAACACCGGATTCATAGGAGTGGTTAGGTCAAAGGTGGTAATATATAGGAGAAAGATTGCAATAAGGATATAGTATAGGAAGAAAGAATTAGTTCGTAGAAAGAAAGATGTGAAGTGATTTTAATCTCTTAGTTTAAGAGAAGACAGAGAGTGTATACACCGACGCCATTGTGATCGATTCTGAGCCATGTCACCAAGGGTCTCCAACCATTGGTTACGAAAGTCACGCGGACCCCAACCAAGTAGTCTGCATCTACCAACATGGCTCAGACTAGAAGTTAGTGACTTCAGGCACTGATGCCACGTTTTGGTTTGGCCGCCCCTAACTTTCTTCCAACCATCCCCTACACCGGTTAGCATTGCACGTCGCGGTAATCGGTGTTCAGGCATACGTAATACGTGGCCCAACCATCTCAGTCGATGAAGATTCATAACCTCATCAACTGATTTACCATCATTCCCTAATACCCTGCGTCTAACCTCACTATTACTTACCCGGTGATCCCAGCAGATGCCAGCAATATTTCTAAGGCATCTGTGGTCAAATACTAGTAGCTTACGGGTGTCTTCTACTCTTAAGGGCCATGTTTCGCTGCCGTAAATTAAAACAGAACGGACAGCCGCGCAGTATACTCGTCCTTTTATTGATAGACGGATATCTCGCCTCCGCCAAAGGTGACGTAAGTTGGCAAAAGCCAAACGAGCTTTACGAATCCGTGCTGAGATTTCGTCAGACACCAACCCATTAGGGCTGATCAGACTTCCAAGATAAGTGAAGTTGTCAACTCGTTCGACTACTTCACTCCCTATCCTTAGTTCAGGTGTTGACGCAGACCAGTCCTGAAGCAACAACTTGCATTTAGAGGGAGAGAAGCGCATCCCAAACATTCTGGCATTGTTGCTTAGTGCTACCAGAAGACTCTGCATTTTGTCAGCGTCTTCACCAAACAGGACTATGTCATCTGCATATTCTAAGTCGATAAGTGGACCTCCTGGAAGGAGATCAATACCCGAGAATTCAGTCGACGAGAGTGTTATTTCCATCAATAGGTCTATGATGAAGTTAAACAAAAATGGAGAAAGTGGGCAGCCTTGACGGACACCACTTGAGGTTGCAAAAGTAGATGACAGTTCGCCATAAGCCCTGACTCGACTAGTAGTGTTCGAGTAAAGAGCCTTCACAAGGTTTATGTACTTCTGAGGTACGCCTTTCAATGACAGACACTGCCACAGAGTCTCGCGGTCTACAGAGTCAAATGCTGCTTTTAAGTCAAGAAAGACCACCATCGTCGGACGCCGATAGGTATGCCTGTGTTCTAGAACCTGACGAATGGTGAATATGTGGTCGATGCAGCCACGACCAGGTCTAAAGCCAGCTTGGTTCTCTCGTGTTTGTAGTTCACGAGTCTTAGTTAGGCGTTTGATAATTATCGAGGCCAGTATTTTAGATACTATGTTTGTTAAACTAATCCCTCTGTGGTTGTCACAGGATGATTTTGACCCTTTCTTATATATTGGGACGATAAGTGATTGCGACCAGTCAGATGGGATAACGTCTAATTCCCAGATCTTAGCTAAAATATTAGTCAACCTAATCGCTAAAATTGGACCACCATCCTTAAAGACCTCTGGAGCCAATCCATCTGGACCAGCTGCCCTTCCTCGTTTCAGATTAACTATAGCCTTCTCAACTTCAGCAAGAGTTGGGGGACCTACTTCAATGTTCCATTCACTTTGTCTGGGAATGGAGGGTAGTTGTAGAGTAGCTGAAGGCCAGCTGAACTGTTCTCTAAAATGTTCCGCCCATCGTTCTAAACGTCTGGACTGGGAGCAGATGAGAGTATCATCTTTTTCCGAAATAATCTCACTTACACTTGACTTATTAATTCCAGTTTCTTTTATTAGTCTGTAAAGCTGTCTTGTGTTCCCTATAGTCGCCGCCTTTTCCATCTCTTTTGCTTTCGTTACCCACCACTGCTCACGGTCGTTCCTTAGACTTTTTCTTAACCTAGATCTGATTTGTTTACGCTCTTCATCATGTTCAGAACCTGATGGGACGAGTTTGCGAGAATCCATCAGTGTGACAGACCTTGAAGAAATCCACTGGTTCCTTGTAACTCTGTGGTTTAAGTCACTAATAGATGTCACTGCTGTTTCCACAGCTGCTTGTATGCCCTTCCAAGCAACATCTGGGTCAGCCTCGTCTTCACAACTACCTAAGTGTGACCTCAGTTGTTCCTGGAACCTACTTTTGGTTTTCTCGTTACTCAACTCAGTTCTAATGGGTCTTTTTAATGTGGCTTTTTTGCGTCCAGTGAGGCGCAAGCAGATGCGTGCCCGTATTAGGGCATGGTCGGAGTCCAAGCAGGTACTCCAGAATGAGCGACAATCTTCTACCGACCCTCTCCAACGATGACTGATGGCAATATGGTCTATTTGAGTCCATCGTTGGTTTGGTGTAGGGGGTCGCCATGTTAGACGATGTCTCTCCTTATGCTTAAAATTTGTGTTTGCTAAAAATAAACGATTGTCTGAGCATAGCTGCAGCAGACGATCACCATTATCTGTTCGCTGTGTCGGAATACTAAAATATCCACCTAAATGCCTTTCTGTTTGGTTTAAACTGCCTATCTGAGCATTAAAATCACCTGCTACGAGTACTATGTCTGAGCGTTTAGCTTTCTGAAGAAGTTCGGACAGCTTTCTGTAAAATTCATCTTTCACTTCATCTGAGCTGCAGTCAGTGGGAGCGTAGGCAGAAACGACAAAAAGGCAACGACGTGTGTCCCTATCCTTCCGAGTTCTTACGTAGCCGTTCAGCCGAACAGCACATAGACGACTGTTGACGGGGATCCACTCTAGCAGTGCTTGTTCGGCCCTCATGCTTAGTGCTATGCCTACACCTGCCAGTCCACGAGAACTTGCCATCGGGTCACCAGACACACGAAGGGTGTATCTCGTTGGCTCTCCGTCTTGCCGAGGTGAGGTCAAGTGAATGACCACACTGGAATCCTGTATGCGTGTTTCGGAGACACAGCATACATCAATGGAAAGAGACTCTAGGGTTTTAGCCAAGGAAGCCTGCTGACCGATTTGACATAGGGTGCGTACGTTGAAGGCTCCAATGTGTAGTTTGGAGCGAGGTTTCAGTAGACCTGGGACAGTGTTTTGCGCACTAGAATCGTTGGCTACGGTGACACTTGAGGTGGAAGCCGAGAGAGGAAATATAGAGTTGAAAGTCGATGTAGGAGGAATAATAGGAATTGAAGAGGAGGTTGATTATGAATACAGTGGTCTTGAGTGCTGTTAGAAGTATGAGGGCGGTTATCACTTCCCGGTTGCCCACACCGTGGAAGGGTTGTTCTGGAGGTACCTGAAAAGGAAATTGGATTAGAAGTGGTCTTAGTGACCTGAGAGCGTGACCGCAGTGCCCAAGGGACAACTGCTTGAGGTCGGTCACACACGACCTTGTTATGGGTAATTTTTGTGTTAGCTCCGTACTTATTGAGACCTTACCGCCGGAGACGGATATCCGTGGGATAAGGCGAGGTGTGCATTTTTAGGGTCGACCTTTTCTAACCCCACCCCTCCTTGTGGGAAGGCAGCATCGCTGTCATGCTGGTTGTCTGAAGGAAACACCTTACTGCTGTCACACCTCTGTACAGTCAGCAGTACGACTTCGCCTTCGGACCTTGGGTTTGTTGCTTTTAGTCTTACCGCTCTTCAACCGACCTGTCTGACATGGTAGGACCTTGAGGAACGGTTGTTCCAGCCAGTATAGCTCGGTTGCTTCATCACGATAGGCAAGCCCGACCACCACGTCAAGGTAGCAACAACGGTCGGGAAATTGTGACACTACGGATCATCGTCGAACAATCAGTTGAGTGGAACTCGTCACTATACATCAACTTCATTGATTATGAAAAGGCATTTGACAGTGTAGATAGGAGAAAATTATGGGAACTTCTTCGACATTATGGAGTACCTGAGAAGATTGTCAGTGTTGTCCGGAACTCGTACGACGGACTACAGTGCAAGGTCGTGCATGGAGGACAGCTGACAGATGCATCTCAAATAAGGACCAGTGTCAGACAAGGCTGTCTACTCTCTCCCTTCCACTTTCTCCTTCCTCCGGTGGTCGACTGGATTATGAAGACCTCGACACCTGAGGGAAAACACAAGATAAAATGGATAGCTCTCATGCAACTAAAGAGTTTGGAATTTGTAGAAGACCTAGTCCTTCTATCTCATACACGCCGACAGATATAGGTGAAGACAGTCGGCGTAGCATCAGCGTTTGCAGCAGTATACCTCAACATACTCAACATCCATTGGCCGGATACCACCAGCAACAGCCTATTAAGGGAGAGAACAAACCAGCTTCCAGCTGAAGAAATTAGGAAAAGACGATGGAAATGGATAGGACATACATTGAGAAAATCATCAAACTGAATCACGAGGCAAGCCCTAACTTGGAATCCTGACGGGAAGCGGAAAAGTGGGAAGCCAAAGAACACATTACGTCGGGAAATAGAAGGAGATATGAAAAGGATGAATAACAACTGGAAGGAGCTGGAAAGGATTGTCCAAGACAAGGTTGGATAGAGAGTACTGGTGGGCGGCCTATGCTCCTCCACGAGTAACAAGCATAAGTATGTTGTATGGTCATAGATGATTGAGAATGTGTTACAGTCCACACATATATTCCTCTTACTAACCTAGATGTCAATTACTTAAAACGCATGATGACTCATTTGCATCCTTATAAATCTGTGCATTTTAATTCCTATTCATTCATTCATTTATTCATATTCGTATTCGCATCGTGCTTGATGGTCGTTTGTTCTGTGGTGAGCGAAAATAAGCTGTATTTGCTTCTGAAATGTAAACACTGTTGGGAAATTATCATAATGACGGTTATCAGGACGAGTGATATACGAAGTATAGGAATAATCTCGAAGATATTCTACTACAATATATCGCGACAATAGCGTCATAGACACTAAAAACTGTAAATACGAAACTAGTAATTAAAAGAGTAAACAAGGTAATAAAAAGACTACATATTTGCACAAAGAATGACTTGCCTCCTTAGGACTAACGAGCGAAAGATGTCGGCTTTCGTCTACATTAGTAAATGATGAGAGATCACTCTTATCTGTTAATTCGTAGAGTTGTTCACATGCTTCACACTCCATGAAACGTGATATATCTGTAAATGTGTATATAATTAACTATGAAGTTAGTAAAATCATTTATAATTGTTTACGAAATTGGTTACTTATGATGCATAACGAATACTCATAGTAAATAATTAGGGAGACTAAATGTAACTTAGTGAAACTCAGTAGCTACATACCAACTTATGTAACTGAGCCTCAAGCCATATTTTCTTTGGTGTCTAGTGATACTATCCGATCCCGCGAACTTGCTTATTTTTACTCTTTTATAAATACTGAATGGATCGTTTGCATTGGAATAAATAAACTACACATTTTTTAAAATATACTGATAAAATACTTTAGTATATCAAAATTCTAATCATTATACGCGTTGGCAAACCTTACCCTATAGGTGCCAATAAACGATTTAAGACGGCCAGTAATTTATATTTACATTTAAATTTTATACTTCTTGGTACACCAATAGGTTACATTCTCAAACACATTATGAAAGGCATGTCTATCGTGAGACTGGAATTCACACAGCGCATATGTTATAAACGTTACTGCTACGTTATATTGCAATTAAGGATTAAACTGAAACAAATAATAGAAAAAAGGACGAAAACAAACGGTGCTTATATGTTCTCAGAGGATGATAAAGAGATTAGAATTTAGAGTATTATGATAAAACATAACTCTTTGAGTATCTTAAACAATTATACGTGAATGATTTGGGTCGTCACTGATTCTTTAGAATTGTTTCATAGTGTATACAAGTCTCAAATCGGTTAGTGATAATCAACACAGGGCCTGGTACGGATGCTCATTCCATCAAAGCAAAGAGAAGAAATGAACAAGATGAATATCAAAGAAATTTAAATTATGGTAGCACCAACGATACTAAGCAAAAACTGAGCATAATATGGCTTGGGAAGTTTCTCATACAAACTATTTTACATTGTTCAAGTTTCACTAAGTGATTCGACAGCTGAATAAGGAATATTTGATGTGAATTGTAAAAAGCAGTTGCCAAAGAAGAAACTGTTGTACACGGTTTTGGTTACCTTGTTGCTAGTGACTCATATGTGAATTAATATCGCTCAGTATGGCTTCTTCCTCGTCCTTGTAGATTAAAGTAATCATTTTCTACTACTACTTGGCATTCATATTGCTTAACTAATATAATTTAGACTGATACAAATGCGTTTAACGTTCCACATTACTTATGAATGGCATTCTTTTTATATTTCGTTTTATTTGTAATGATTAAAAGATGTAACAACTCTAATCGGTATATTATTGGAAAATGTCCTCGATTCGATTGCCTTTCTATTATGCCACACTTCAATGGTTACCACCAATATTTCTCCCTTCAATCCACTTGCAAAACACAATTTTGTATTCCCGTACTCGTAAGTGGTGGTCAAAGTAAAAGTAGTTGCAATTAAAACATAACTATGGTGAGAAAGCATTCTGAAACCATCTTAAGTGAAAATAAATAGATTTAAATAACCAACTTGAAAAGTCTAAATAAATCAACATTAAACAATTACATGATGCTTTTGGATCAAGAGATTTTAAAGGACCACCACATTTGTTACATCTTATGAAAGAGCCAGTGCCATTTCCAGAGCCTCCTCCTCCAGCACCACCAAGACGTTCCTTAGAACCGATACTATGATGGTTCACATTGGCGGAGTTGAGGGAACCACTACCCTCTGAAGGTCCCCCTGGGTTTTGACTTTTACCTAATAAATATAAAGACAAGAACGAACAACTAGAGACAAGAACGAAACATAATGGTTTTCGTGAGCAAAATATATGTTATGTATGGATTCACTTATTTTAGTTCTGTTTTCTCGACGTCACCACTAATCATCTGTTACTAACTGGGTTATTTTGTTAATTCACAAGTGGTCACTTCCCATATAACTATGTCTAACAACCAAACAGTCAAACAGAAAGAAACAAAGAAGTGTTATTGATACATAAAGTTCGAGGGTTTACCACCCGACCGGCCAATTATAACAGCTCTTTCGAAACGCATCACCGAACATTATCCTGTCCAGCTTTCCAAAGGATTACAGAAGTCAGTCAAAAACCCACTTTTCGAGCATCTAATCAATTTTGGTCATTTTGCTTGACCATAAACCTTTAAAATCATACATACAAAAGGAATAGAAACGAAAAACTTATGCACATAAGAAGCTCTTGTTATTTTTCGTTTTAAGCCTAGCTTTTGCGTAAAAAAACAGTATGTTCAACCCCTCATTCATTCATGGTTTTAACCTTCCTCTCTACCATAACCTATCATTTACCATCTTCACTTTATTTCCACTCCTTCCAATTACTTTCAAAACTAATAATTAACAATGATTATGACTTTTAATTATCCCATTCCTTATAGCTATCAAGTGGACAATTATCTCCACCTTACCACTTTTTCACTAGCCGACTATTACATTACCTCTCAATATCTGATTTCCCTAAACAATTCATGACAAGATACAACTTCAAGTTATTTAAATATTCAACACTTCTATTCTACAAAAGACTGTATTTCGGCAAATAAAGTTAACTAAGTACGATTGTATGGTTTAGGTAAACAAAAATCGTCGAAAAGAAAAGCTTTGAAGGACCGCATTTTTTCTTTAACGACACGAGTTGCTTTCATTATTTCAATAATAAGATGGTGAAATATCGCTCTTATCAATATTTGATTCTGTTACACTTATAACCACAACCTATAGCCATATAGCGAATGTATTAACTTATTTCAACGATCGGCGGAAAGGTCATAATTGAACATAAATAGCGCAACTATGTACGTCTCCAGAAAATGGGAAATTAATCGTGAGGACTGAATGAAAACATCAATCATTGACTCTAGCGTGTTGACGACACAATTACAATGCATCCCTTCTTGACGAATGATAATAAGTATCAATATCTATCTTAATGCTACAAGTAATCTTCGAATACCAAGGATTCAAGAAAGAATTACAAAAGATGAGGGACGTTTAAATTCAAGGTACAGAAAAACTTAATGCATAAGCATTTAGTCAATAGGAACCTTCCCAAACGAAACCAACATGTTCACTTGAGATTGAAGGTTCATTAGAGCCGCTGATGGTCCACTAACAAGAACATTTAAGTATTCAGTCAGCTGCAACGTAGGACCAGGCACATATATGCATCAGTCCAAGTTGCCACACCGCATTAGCGAAACAAGATGAACATCAAATTCATGGAAGTACTTGAAAGTTAAGTCACACAAAATGATTAGTAACAGCCAGAGTGTAGTTTTAAATGAATAAGAATGAATGTGTAAACCAATACCATGAGAATTTAGGTCACACGGGGCGAGTGGTAAGAAATGTCAATGTAATGCATAGCAAAATCAGAAACTTTGACAAGCATGACATATTCGGAACCAAGAAGTTGCGAAACTCTAAAGATTTCAGACAATTTAGACGTTTTTTCAGTGTTTACAGTAACTTAAAAGTAAGAGCTAACTACTGAAACCTTCCATAGGACTATTTCAACCCTTTTTAGTAGTATATAAACTAATATTAGTAGTATATACTACTTGTTTGTTTATGAGGCGCATACGCATGTATTAAGAAGCATATGAAAACACCTTGATCAAAAAGCCGGTCTCACAAATTTACTTTAGAATTTTAAAAATCTAAAAAGGTGGGGAAAAGGTCAAAATCATAAGCTTGAACCTACCTGCTCATAACCGATTGACTGATGAGACCAATTTCGAACGATCCTAAAGGGACGCTAAAGAAATCCTCAGACTGATTACCTACTAACTATGGTTAAGAGATGATCATATATTAGTTTAAGGAATTAGGGTTATTATTTACAAATGGACGTCGGGGTTAGGAATTGGAGGAAGAGTTTTCATCACGAACTGACTTCACCTATAGTGCCAGTATGCTTGTTAGTCAAACGAATGAATGAAACTCGCTCCAAATTCAACACCTGTTGTTTCAAACCTGACTAGTTTGTCTAGAAATCAGTCTCGCCTATTCAGCCACAAACACATTCGTTGGCAAAAACTCATTTCTCTTCATAAACGTGGGATCAAAACGACAGAAGCAGGACGTATTAATCACACAGCACTCGAATTTGCTTCATGATACCGGGAAATAAGACTTATCATCGGATATTTAGGTAAAAAACGATTTCCCGCATATATATGCAGTATATACTGCATGAACAAAATTTGATCTAAAATACTCACTACTTTTGCGGCATTCGGCCGTTTTGCAATGCCCCGAAGTGTTGCAATCTTCGTGAACATCAAATTCTGAAACCCGTGAGAGTGTTAGATTTTCGTACGTATTCCACGCATTACTTCCATAGCGGGCAACAACTAATCACTCTATAAAGCAGTAAAACATACTTAACAATCCACGTCCATGTGTCTTCCAGCTTTTAAAAGCACAAGAAAATGCAGAGGAAGCGAAATTACTCATAATTAAGAGAACTACAGAACCAAAGATACAAAACAGATTTCAACGCCACATTTGAAATCTGCGCACGGATCCAATGGTTCAAATGGTTCGATTGATTGTGGACGGAATAGAAGAAGCTTTCGCCTAACGGGCTTCTTCGTCTAGTAGCAGTGAAACATAAATACCTTCAGGCAGGAACCTAGATATATTACCGGTAATAGAGTGAAAAACAATTGGTAAGTCATAATAAGATATTATCCTTAGACCTTAAGAATAAGTCAAGTTGCCTCTTAAATGACTCCTAGGAAGTCGCAAATTCCAGTGTTTGACGACTCTTAAGGAGTAGAACATGTGTCTACTGTCCGTTCTGCTGTGTCGTGTCTCTAGTTTCTGGGTGTTACCCCTTAGTTTTATGTTGGAGCTAAACTTAAGTACGTGTTTAAAGAGGATGTCCAGAAGTGTTAAGGATAGTGTAAGCCATTAGAAGGTCAAATCTAGGACGCTTATACTCTAATGATTAAAGGTTTAGTGATTGGAGGCGCTCTTCACAAGAATTGAATTTGAGTCCGCGGACTGATTCTGTGGCTCGCCGTTGGATACACTTCTGAGTGTCCTTATCCTTTTGGAGTGAGGGAGGAAACACTATGTTTCCGTATTTAAAATGGGGATGAATAAAACTGCTGAAGATAATGTGGAAAGTTCTACCGTCAAACTGGCCAAAAATGAGCTTCAGTGTTATCAGTGTAAGGTTTGCTCGAAAGGCATTTTTGCCACAGTCAGCGTATGACTTCAAATCGTAGGGTACCAGTCCTCCTAAATCTTTTTCAACTCGGGATACTTTTAGGGAGAAGTTTTCTAAGCTGAAACTGTAGTCTGCAACATGTTTCAGATGGACTACTTTTGTCATCTGCCCAATCATGAAGTCGAGTCAGACCCCCCTGAAAAGTCAGTATATTCCCTTGGTTGCGTGTCTCCCTCTCCAAAGTTTTACATCATCGGCAAAAAGTAATAAGCCAGACGACACCTGTTGTTGAAGGTCTTTTATAGAAATCAAGAAAAGATGAGATCCTAGTACTGAACCCTGGGGGACGACACCAGGACATTCCATAGCCTGAGAGAAAGTGAAATTAACCCTGACCCTAAAATGTCGATTTCTCATATATTAAGTGAGCCAGTCAATCAAAGGTGATTTGATACCCAATCGTTTGAGCTTATTGATAAGACATTCATGGTTGTCCCTATCAAGAGCTTTTGAGAAGTCAAGGCAAACGATGTCAACCTTCCCCATGCGATCAAGGATAGTTGTCCATCTGTTCACCGCAGCTAGCAGGCTGGTTATACAAGAATGACCTTTCCTGAAACCATGCTGTTGGGGTGAAAAGGAGTTTAAGGATAATAAACAGTCGCGCATGCCGTCTCATATCAGGGACTCCGTAATTTTTGAAGGTATAGAGAGAACGGCCACTGGTCAGTAGCTTGAAGGTTCATTGTGTCGACCTATACCTTTAGCATGAACATATGTAAAATTATGGCCTACTTCGTTATTGGTACCGCTCTAATAATAAACTTAATCCTAAAACTCTAGATTTATCATGATGTAACTGCCTAACCTATAAGATCATACGTGAAATTCACATTATGATCGACACCAACTCATCGCGTTGTAACAATCATCACTATATAATGAAGAACACACTCAGGCTAGAGATAGAACAATATATTTAATCTGAATAAAAGATATAAGATAACATTTAACTGTGGCCACGCCTGCATGGCTGAGCCACGCCATCCGATCAATTCGAATTCATACCATTTCTTGTTCCCGCTTTCTCCATCGATGGGTTTTTCTCCGCGCTAAATATTTAATATCTAATTTCTCAGTTGTCTCGTGTTCAGCTTTGAGGATTGTGTGTTTACGGCCCAATGAAACTACAATGGCACTTCGCTATTTGACTACAATAATTCCAGTCAAAATAGAAGTTATTTGTGGATTTGTTTATCAAACTACATAGATCTGAACTTCGGATGGAAATCCCAGAGATCAGTATAAGTTTATGACCTATTTTTACGTTGCAGTTCGTATTGTTTTTTAGCTACAGTCGAATGGGAATTAACTAAAGCATTATTATTGGCAGAGAAAAGAAATTAAAGTTTTGAATTCCGTTACGAGAAGTAATAAGTAATCCTTAAAGGAGGTTTGACATTTTCTTCATCTGGTACAGCCTCAAAAAGTTTGTCGTTAAATTGTGTCCGACCTTGGAAGTCCAAAATTACTGCTATATTTCCGCAACGAAAACAGTAATTTAGAGCTGAAGAAATAATGATTAGCTTGTAGAATTATGGTCTACTACGATATTAGTACTGCTTTATTAATAGACCTGGTCCTAAAATTGTAGATTTGTCATGATATATCTGCTCAGTCTATAATACCTTACGTGGATGTCACATCATTATATACTCTGATTCATTCGTATTGTAACAATCATCAATACATGATGAAGAACATATTTATGCTGGAGATAAAACAGCATATTTAATATGGATAGAAGACTGTTACATAAGTAGGATGAAGCCTGCAAGGCTGAGCCACGCCATTCGACCAACTCGAACTCATCCAATTCCTTCTTCCCATCTTTCCCCTGATTAAGTTTTTCTCCGCGTTAAATGTTGAATATCTATTTTCCCACTTGTCTCGTGGTCATCTTTGAGGATTGCGTGGTTACGGTCCAATGCCACTACAGGATCTCCATCACACATATATTTGTAAGCTTCATGGACTCTAAACCTTTTAACTCGACAAATTCGTAAATGACTTTTTGTCCAAATAAGTATTCTGCACCACCCGGATTGACATCCCACTGAGCTACATCATAAGAATCTGACAGTGTAATGTCATAAAAAGGACCTTCATGGGGCATTTCCATATGTGTATCGATTGTCCGAACTTGATCAAGTGTTCTGGCTTAAATTGACAGACCTCCATGAACCCAAAGAACTTTTTCCCTAACTAATGCAGCTATAGTAAAAAGATCGAAGACTGCAAAAATCATGCCATGAATTCGCACTCCCATTTCTATTGATGCATTCATCGTAGAAGACATAGCACTTGACGACTTTCATGGTCTACCCTCAATAATGTTATTCGTACAGGATACCTGGATTTTAAGACATGAAGAAGAGTTTCAATGCTGTCATAATCACGATCAACAAAATCCCCCATGAAAATATAATTCCTGTCACACAGTTCACCCTCTCTGTGTAATAACTGAAAAAGATCACAGAACTGTCTATAAATACCACCACATATGGTAACCGAAAAAGAAACAGGCTTTACGTTGAACTCTTCAATCAGCTACTCACATAGCCGCATAATTTTCTAGGTTCACTTTCTTGAAGGTATTTACAACTTTTGACAGACTCTATCCACTGATCTAGGACCATTTTAAAAGTAGTTCCTAAGAGCCAATGTCGTATGCTATTTACAAAGAACAGTGTCGTTTTTTCTCGCCGAGTTAATTTTATTGTTTTTATCGTTTGTTGCGCATCAACAATACTATTTTCGCTCCAAATGATTTTATTTTAGTTGAAGTATTCGCCAAGAGTGTCGTTTTTTAGAAAATTTATCACTGGTACTCAAATGGAAATAAAAGGCTGAAAATCCCTCCACAACATTTTTGTTGGACAGTACTGTCATTTATTTGTTTATTTTCCCTAATGTGTATTTTAACCTTTGTTAACATCTCTTTTGACCACACTTTGTGTTCTTCTGTCTTCCTCATCTGAGCTTTTATTATGCGACTGATTGAAGACGTATCTTTCGTTAACTATTTTTATTGCATATTGCTGGATTATTGACAATAAGTTCGTGCTTCACTAAGCCCAAGGTCGCGGCGTGGTTCAGTGTGTCAGTGTTAACCTGTGGTGGACCAGACGATATATAAACACAAAAAGTATCAACAAAGTTAATAAAGATCAATAGAAATGTTAATATATATAAGTTAATTATTACAAATACAATAGAAATTGGGACTTTATTTAAGTTCACCGAATTGATGCGTGTTCGACTTTGGTCTGGTACTAAGAAACCACATTTACAAATGCTTGGTAATTCCGATCTGGTTGACGAACTCTCCAGTGATATAATCCAACGTGGGATGTGACATATCCTAATTACAGTCTATAAACGTAGATAGTATTTGATTCAGACTTCAGTTAACTCAATCACAAACGAAGATGGAACGAGGAATGTGTGAGTAGTAGTGTATTTGTTAGCCAGCAAGAGTATGTCACGCTATGTCAGTATCACGACGGAAAGTGTGTTCAAGGTCATTTACTAAAACAACAGGTACAATCATTTAATGATAAAATATACAGACAGTGAAAGATTGACAAAATAAACACAAATAAAATTAAAAAACTATTTGCAAAATAACTTTGTCAGGCCTATCTCCACATAGCTCCCCCCAGAGTGTACGGAGGTAACACTGGTTATAATAACAAAAAATGTAAGGATATGATATATACAAATATTATTCACAGTTATAACTAACAAAAATGTGGAGATGAGTATGACATGTAGCAGAGATGTAGCATAGCATAACAAACGCACACAAAAAATGAAAACACTGTCATTTAATGTCTTGTTTGGCTAACAATGATAATAATAATGTGCAAAACTGCTAATGACCCACAAAAAAATTGAACTGTTTATTTTTGTGTACAACAAATGAATAATTAAATAGAGTTTACTCGTTTATTATAGTTACAAAATTTTTTTAAAAATAAATGTGACAAAACGAATAATTGTGGAAAAATGTGATTATGTACACTGTGAAAGGGAAAAAATGTTGGGTGAAATTAGTAGTGTGGGACATCGGCAGATGTTTGCTTTGATTGTTTGTTTGTTTTTTAATCGTAGAAATGGACATAACGCTTGGGTTTTGTTGTAAGTCTCTCAGAACGTGTTAAACAAGAGGTTTTAGTGCTAAGTTTTTCACCCTCCTCTTGTTTCGTGGCAATTGCTGGGAGTGATTGTTTGTTCGCAGTATTGTCTTCTTTGTCTTGAGGGACTTCGTAGAAATTTGGTTTCATTCTGTCTATGGAAATTGTCTCCTTGTTCTCATT